ATTGGGTGAATACATCTCATACTACTGATTTACTGGTAGTCACAAAAACAATACTTAATTTGAAAAATATTTAAAGTTAATCATGAAAAGCTACTTATTTAACAAAAAAACGACTAATAGAAGTGGGTTTATCTTGCGGTCGTAACTTGGTCTTGTTGTCAGGGCGACTTGATAGAACGCACCTTGTTCAAAGCCCTTGGCCAGAGTAGTTATCATAATTTCCGTCATCAGACCGTAGAATTGGTATTAAGTCGCGACAACGAGGTCAATCCACTTCTATAGATGGAAAAGAAACTGCGACCATACCAAAAGCCAAACCATCTGGGTCTTCATCCCTTCGAAAAAAATACTTATTCCGCAAGGTCACCTGCAAAAAAGTAGATTCCCTATCCAACAAAATGGCGTCGTCAACCCGTGAAAATTAACCAAATTCATGTAACAAGACTGATTTTTGCAGAATCTCTCAACAGGTTGACATTAGGCTCGTCTTCATTTGGTCTGAAGAGACGAGTGGAAGCGACTCGTAAGTTGCCCTCATCGAAAATGGCCAAACGCATACTTCAAAAAGGATACCAAATTGGCTGTTGCAATGGCAAACTCTCAGCTGGCTATTGAGGTTATGTCTTCCAGTAGGCGGAAGATTAGAGAATCTATGAAGCACAATGAAGCAATCAACATGAAAAATAGAAGGAAGAGAGAGAGGCAGAAGAAACAAGAGGAGGTTTGGTTAACCTCGAATCTGGTTTTACCTTTCACACCTCAAACGACTCAACAACATTGCCTGCAGATAACTCACGTTGAATGAAATGCGCCACCATTGCGGCGGCAAAACTGCAAAATATTTGGGCCATTTGGCCACAATTAGCTTTTATATGAAATGTATCCATTCTATTTAGTCTAAGGTAATAAGGAAACTGGTCTTTAACTTTTTTCCCATAATTCACATGAGTAGACTCTAAGTTTTCATTGAATTTCACATAGCCATGTTTTGCCAAGTCGCTATTTTCATCTAGGCAGAGGTGGACCGCAGTTTCGACCTCGCCTGAACTCGTCTCAACAACACCTACTGCGGAATTCGTCCCCGTGTCGTCAGCCTCCTGGTTACACAAATTTCCACCTTCCTCTCCAGACACAACTGTCCATTGAGCACAGGTCAGAAAGTACATTTACGCCAAATTCTGCTTCCCTCATATCATATCTGTATAGTGTTTCACCAATTAAATCGATGACGTTACTTATATGTGATATGAGTAGTCTCACCGTCTCGCCATCTCTTCGCATCGCCACATCGCCTCGTCTCCAATTCTCAGACGTCCGAGCCGCCATCTTGGATCTTCTTGACATTTACAGAGCGAGTCTCGTCTTTTTGGGCGACACATCTATCATTCGAGGTTATACACATACACATACACATGCACAATTACACCCGGACATACACGGGGGCCTTTTCCAACACATGCCGATGACTACTTACACTCTTGTAAGTAGTCGCTTGATGGAACGACGAAACCAGCCGTCTCATCCTCTTACGACGTGTGTCTAACTGCAAGGATCAAGGCGGGAATTGGGTACTGCATCACAATTCTGGGGGTTTCGACACTTTCGCTATGCTTGCATGTCTTCCCAGCGCCCTGTTGGGCGGAATAATAGTTGAACTGTTGGCCAGCCTACCTTGGACAGGGTTGGTGGCTCCTTGAAGGGCGGCAGTCGAAGGTCGCCCGGCAGGTCGATTGGCCCCGGGACCGCAGGCTCCGTCGACTCGAGGCTCCAGTCGTGGGACTCGACGAAACGTCCGGTCTCGGGTAGCAGAGCGGCCAGAAGGCCTGGCAACTCTTGGGCGACACGATGGCTGTTGCCGGTCCACATCATCTGAACCATGAGAAGGGCGCGCATCTTCACCAACAGGTTCTCCTGTCGAGATAAAGGCACAAAATGAGCCCCAGTCAGGGGTCGCAGGAACTCGGTGTTGGCAAGAGGCAGAGGCAGGAGAGGAGGAGAACAAGACATTACAAAAAGACCGCTTCTATTTCAACTCATTCAGCACAACTTGCCTGGAACTTGGTTGTCAGATTACACATTTTATCAGCTGTCATTCCATAGTAGTCACTTTAAGCACAAGAGGACAATTAGAAGAGAAAGTAAAAGGCGAACGCGCACTTGTGGGTTTCTAATAAACACACCCAACCATTTTTTTCGTTTGTTCTGACTCGTCCAAATCCTTTATCACACAATACAGATTTGCCAGTAACATTTTCGTATTTCATACATATGCACATATATGCGTGTTAGTGTGCATGGTAGACTGGCCTGATGTAAGCAATATATATATATATATATATTTATTTATATTTATATACATACATTCAACGAATAGGAAACCTTCCATATATTTATTTATTTATTTATTTATTTATATACATAATGATGTAAGCAATCAGCCTGGTAGACAAAATAGGAAACCTTCCATATATATATATTTATTTATTTATTTATATACATACATTCAACGAATAGGAAAACTTCCATATATATATATATATTTATTTATTTATTTATTTATTTATATACATAATGATGTAAGCAATCAGCCTGGTAGACAAAATAGGAAACCTTCCATATATATTTATTTATTTATTTATTTATATACATAATGATGTAAACAATCAGCCTGGTAGACAAAATAGGAAACCTTCCATATATTTTTTTTAAATTTATTTATTTATATACATACATTCAACGAATAGGAAAACTTCCATATATATATATTTTTATTTATTTATTTATT